GGGTCCAGAACGCTTCATGTAAGAAAACTCTGATACAAAAACTTTCAAATTTGAAACCTACTTTGTAAATGCAACCTTTAACCCATTAATATCACCAGTAATATCACCAACAAATTACTAAGCCTCATCTTTTTATTTAATTAATTCACACTGTAGAAATATATATAATTTTAATAATGTATTATAAAAAATATATTTATCTGTGTTACCAAAATATAGTACTCCTTGATGTGTTTTTTTGAAAGGAATAAAAACTTTTACCTTTCAACTCACACAAGCAGTGATTTATAATGAATGAATAACTTTATTAATGTGTCAATTATTTTGTAGCTGATAGCCTGCAAAACAGGTGTATTTTGGGCGAGCGAGCGCTGAATATTCCATCGAGTGTTTATAAGCCGCCATCTTGGATTAGGAAAACATTGGAGGCTTGGGGCGAGTGCAAAAGAACGGGAAGGGAGAGGGAGCCAGGCAGAAAGGCGAGGGAGGAGGGCGAATAATAACCCCTCCCCAACCCTAACCTCTCTTTCACTCGCCCCAACTCTCCACGTTTTGCGAATCCAAGATGGTGGCAAAACTAGATTCTTGCAAGACTATTTTGTGGATTTGGTGCAACAGTGTAAATGTGTACATACAGCCATCCACTCCCTGTGGAGCAAGCGGCTGTACACAGGCTAATGTATTTTTGTGTTTATATGTATCATATCGGTATTTTTGTGTGTTAAATCACAGCTTTGTCTGTGCTTTTGTGGCGTTTTTTAACACCTACTGGGGCTAGGTATCTGAACACATGGCAAAACAAGCTCTGCAGTTGCCTATTATACAAGGGATTTTTTAAACTAATTTCAAGGGTATTTTTTACATGTTTTTGTTCAATACAATGAAATTATCATTGATGCCTTTGTGTCACTTTTTGGATCTTGCCCTCTTTTTAGTTTCACCACTCAAAGCCAAACTTGTCCTCGCCTTCATCCAGTTGGCACTTGATTTCCGTCTTCCCTGGCGACTCGGTGGTGTGACCGTACTACTTCGACTGCTTTGTGGCCTAGTTAGGTGTTCTGTGGGAAAAAAATACAGTTGAACCTCTCTATAACGATCAATGTAGGAACATAATTTACTGACCATTGTAGAGAGGTGGGCAGATCCAGAGATGTAGATGTAGATGGACTTTTCTTACTTAAAAATGGGAGAACGGAGTGAAGGTGAGCCTCTTCTTGCTCGAATAAGGGAGAGGGAACTGGGGAAAGGCCACCTACATCTAACACTGGGTAGATTGATGGACTCCAGATTGAACGGTCTGAGTTCAAGCCCGGGATGCTGTGTTCTTGGGTAAGACACTTTACTTTCACAATGCCTGTCTCTTCCCCAGGAGTAAATGGGTAACAGCAAATTGTTGGGGAAACCTAACAAAATACTTTGGGTGGGGGGGGGGGGGGGGGTGCTAGCTGCGATGGACCTAGTTGCTTCATGCTATGGAAACCGGAGTTAAGTGCTGGGGCTTGGTAAGCCACTTAGGTTTGAAGATTATAGAGAGTAGGGATATAACAGTTGAACATCTCTATTACAGCCACCCTTGGCCAGTGGGCAGAATTAACAGGCCGTTGTATGGAGGTTTCAATAAGAGTAAAGTGTATGAATTGGCGATGGACATTTTCTGTTGATAATGAAATCAAAGAGATGTCGGCACTTACGCAAAAATGCTGATGTTATTGTCCTGATGTCATTTAGTAGTGGGGTGTATGTTGATGTATCTTCTCCTTCTTTTTCTTGAAAGTAGAAAAATAAATAATAAGCAAATCACTACGGAATAAATGTAACAATTAAACGCTGCCATTCTGCCTCAGTTAACTATAACAAGTAATAATTAATGAAAAGCTTTGGATCCCCTCCCCATCCCCGACCCCTTTATTTTTTGTCATCTTCGAAGTTGTTGAAGAATCCATTCTCGCTCCCAGGGGCTGCGATCCCTTTGGTCCACTAAGAGTGGATACTTCTGACTGGTCCCAATCGGAGGCGGGATTTCGTCATCAACTGGTACTTTTCCCCCCGACTTTTTTCTCTTCTTTTATTAGCCAATCAGATTTGAGAAAAAAAATCAAGCTGGCCAGAGGTCCAAATTCTTGGTGCTGACCAAAATGATTGTGAAAGAATGATACAAATACACATGGGGTCTGATGGTGAAATCCTGTCTCCGAAATGGCCTGAGTGGACAATAGTTGCTAAGCAACATGACATATCCTTATTTGGGCTATGCTGGTGTGACAATTTTTGGAGTACTTGTGAGTGCTCGCGCTGTTTCTTGATTGGATAATAAGAATCAGAAACTCTTCAAGTGCTTCAACAAAGATTTGCCAAAACCAACACTCTTGTTTCCCCAACTGAAAAAATCTGAACACCAATTTGGTCACTGGTTCATACAAGTTTAGTTCAGCTCTGATTAGCCACCAATAATACATGAAGGAAAGAAGTAACAAACTCACTGTCAACTTTAATGAGAATGAACGAGTGTCGAGCCTTCAGATGTTGTGTCGCGTATTCACCCTTGTGCTCCAGAAGATTTTTAAGATTGCCCGATTCATCTGACAAGTCAATTATCTCTGCAAAACAAAGACATTTTGCTACATTTTAAATAGCACCAAGCAAACATCTTGACAAGGAAAGAACATGCAAAGGTCAACAAACCGCTAGTGAACATGCACAAACAAACGAAACAGTCACCTTCTCTCTCACGTCGACATCTCTTCTTTATGTCTTCCAAGAGTACCTTTGTCATGCAGTTTGGGTTAAAAAGAGCTTCTTGACAATCTAAATATAGGCAAAGATAAGACGTCGTTGGTTGTGAGCAACAAACGACATCACATCAAAATATAATCCGGAATGAAGTCCATCATTCAATATTTGCAGTGAATCAAAATCACGCTAACAAATGAAATCCTTACCTCCAAATCTTACGGTGATAAACATCTTGCTTTAATCTCAAATGAGAAGTTTTTAAGCCGAAGGATTCATCTAAATTGAATCGGTTGCATTGTTTATAAGCGGCTGACTATTGTGCTGGAATGTTGTAAATCAGCATTGTTATTCATGCGAAGAGTAATTAGCTAATTTTTTGTTTGATAATTACTGTGCCATGGAGACTGTGTTAATTGATCCAATACAAACACAAGCAAGTACTTCGACCTCTTTGTATCTTTTTTGCCGAGATGTATTGTTGTTTTTGGACACGAAACGGAACCGCTCTCGCCAAAGCGAGGCCTCGCACCCGGGGAGAAAAAACCGCGGATTGAATGAAGATGAAGATGGGCTCAAAAAAAAAAAAAAAAAAAAACAGTAGCTAACAGCTAAACAGAAAAGGCTATCGTAACGCTTTGAGAAAAATATATCACATTTGAAGAAATTAGCAAAGAGATTTAGAAGAAGGAGCTTTGCGTGACAAGTCATCGCATGTCACGCGTGTGGAGCGCAGCAGAGGAACCGGAAATGACGAAATCAAGGAGAAGTCATATAAAATTTTAGCACGTATTCACGTTTGAAATTTAACTTTTATTCATTGCAGATTCTTTCCTTGTATTGACGAATTCAAAGTTAAATATTGATCATAAAAGCAAACCACAACTTTTTTAGCAAGAGAAAATAATAGTAAAAGGCAGGAGTGTAAAAGGTAATACGCAAATGACGTCACAAATTGTAGAGAGCGCGTATGTCCGAACCAACCCCTGGTGCCACCCGGGTATAAAAGTGACGAGGGTGATCGTTGTACTCGTCCCCAGTCGTCTCTCTTATCTTCTCCTAGAGAAGCGCGGCCGGCCGAGTGGAGCGCAAGGGGTGATGGGAAGCATTCCCCAGTCCCCAAGACGCTCGCATATAATAATTAATAGGAGACTGAGAGACGGCTGGGACGAGTCAGCCCTTGCCATATGTGCCACTGGGCATAACGGGCAGTAAGTAGTAAGTAAGTAAGCCGGCCAAACGAGGATGAGAGTTGGCTCTCGTGAGAGTTTTCTTCAACTTTCATCCGGCTATCATGAAGCGTGGGCCAAACGAGAGAAAACTCTCGACGACTCTCACTGAAAAAATTTGAGCAGGTTCAAATCCAATGAGAGCGCATGAGAGTTTAAGGCCCATTACTTTATTTACTTAGTCTTTTATAGTTGTTGATCTATGTACATGTACATGTATTTGTTATTTATTTATTTATTCATTTATTACTTATTTATTTAATTTACTATTACTTTTTGTAAACAGTCCCAGTATTTATAGCCACCCAAGCTATCTTTGGGAGTATAATTACTAAGACCAAGAGAGGATGATCTAAGAGAACACATCCCCCATCCCCCATACATGGGCCTCTTCCAATGATAATTTTTTTCAATCTATTTTTAGCGCGTGGTCATACTGCGCGGCTATTTTAAGGAGACACCTGATTGGTTAGTTGTAATAACGTAATGAAATTAAGATTTCTGATCACATCTTAAATTCGATTAACGATTTCAGTAGATGGACGTCAACACGACGGCGAGAAAAATCTGCGCAATGACATCTGATCCTCTGATCATTAGCCGCGCGACCATGGGACGAGAACTAAAATACTTTCACAGCATGACGCGAAGCTTAAAATAGATTGAAAAAACTATCATGGGGCATGGGGATGTAGATTATCCTCTCTTGCTGGGTGAAAATGAATTCGAGCCACACCCACAAAATGAGATTCTGGTTCCCCAGTTTAGTAGGGGTTAAAATTTCCGACGATCACCCCCCTTCCCGGGGTAGGCGAAGCTTTGCTTGAAATGCACCAAATTTTCGTTAATTTTTTCCGGCTTTCCGGATTAAACAGCTGCTAATCTCGGTGATTTCGTCATAATCCCCACAAATCCTGAAAAAGTAAGCTCCGTCCTCTTCGATCGCTTCCGTCTTTAAAATGAAGTAGATAGGAAATGCATAGAGAAAGATGTTTTATCAGTCAGTGACAACTGAGCTATTCAGAAAAACATCATTCCGAGTTACCCCAACAGGGGTTGAACCTATGACCTTCCACCCAGCGGTCGGACGCTCTACCACTGGACTACAGGAGACTCGTGGGAATTTAGTGCCATATAACTAGTAGCTTTTGAGTACATAACTCGCTCAGTTCAGACAGGGAAGGTTCTCCTGCGTTCAGAGCATTTACAATCCCCGCCCTCGAAACATGATGGCCAATGACGGCGATACACCATAAGCAAAGACATCACCTACAGCTGGAAATAGTAGTAAGTACACCGACGCTAGTGTGTGAATGATATGTCGACTTGAAAAACGCTCAAAGAAATGTTAAAATATCCCGCTAATTATTGTCTTAGATTCTGAGATAAGTGAGATACGAACAAACAACGGCCTGATTGTTTCAGTAGAAAATTTGTTGAGCTCATAAAAAAACATGCATGCAGAACATGAGACAAAGTGGTGAACTTTGAACTGTCAAAAGCAAAGAGGAAGACCTTAGAAGAACTGATTTGAATAATGACCTATAACAACTTCATATAGCGCTTATTTGTTAAATAAATTACATCAGTGACTTCAAGGCGCTGGACAGTTTATACTAGTACGTATCAACTCAGTGTGCTATACCCAAATTCTATCGGTATAGTCACTGAGCGTATATCATACCCTAACAAACGTGAAAAATATCGTTTAGAAATACCTCAATATATACCTTATTTATTTAATAGTCTCTCAGATGGTCCGCTTTTGTACGCATGCAAAACTCATTACCGAAACAGCTGCCAAATCTGTATATATATATATTTTATTTATTTAAATCGGATATTTTAGTAGAGACATTTACTTTGATGTGTTTTTAAATACATAAATGTTAAAACAGTAAACAGAAGCTGACATATAAGAACAAAACTAACTGAAATAAATAGAAGTATTATAATTTTTAAGATGGGTGAATCCGTGCAAATAGCTAGGCAGGTGCAATAAAACAAAACATTTAAGGATCAGCAATATCTGGAAAACAAATTATGCCCATTTTGCATTAGGCTTCGATTTCTAAGTTATCTACTTCAGTATTGAGCCGGTTCTCGTGGGAAAAGTTTCGATAACAGTTTCTTTTTTCATGTGTCACCAGTTTGATGAAATAGAAATATAATCGCAAGTTGACTAACACTTGGGTTACCATGGTTACCATATTACCGTATTTATAGCCTGGGTCATTATTCAAATTTTTCTACGTTCTTCCTCTTTGCTTTTGGACAGTTCAAAGTTCACCGCCTTGTCTTAAGTTCCTCCAGTTTTTCAGTTATGAGCTCAACAGATTTTCTAAACAATCAGGCATGAGTAGCAAGATGGGCCGAAGACCCCAGCTAACTGCATGGTATCATACGTGAGTAATACTTGTAGAACTAGATTGTAGAAATGTAGTGTTTAAAGCTTGCGACATGAACAGGAATGCTTTTAATACCAAATGACACCAGAGCCTGATCGAAGGTTAGAAAGTTCTACCATACCAAGAGCATGAAGGGTAGACCATACTTAACAGAGGGAAATGGTTATGACGGCCGGAAAACGTCAAAGAAGCAAACAAAGATGCCAAGATTTATGTTGGAAGAAGGTCCACGACCGTGCACAATCTTTTGTTTGCGCTCACACACGATGGTTGAATCATGTAACCAGAACATTTCTATTGGTTAATTACTCGAACAAAACTCAAAAACTTATTGTGTTTTGTGCACCGTCAAGGGCAAAAAAGCGAACAAAAACATTGAACAAAGAACTTTGTTGGGCTTCATAACCATTCTCTTTATCACCGCAACTTTGGTTCTACAATACCCAAAAGCACTTTTTTCGTTGATGTTACAGAAAAGGAACGTATGCAACATAAAACGTTTAATTTGCCACAGTTCTGCGACTAAGTGAAATCAAACTCAGATAGTAATTTTAGATTGAATCTAAAATCTCCACACTATGGACAGAATTAACTGGCATGGCTAGGGAGTTGGCCATTTGAGGAAGGTTTCAATGTTCGGTTCGGATCAGTAGAGAGGCGGCCGTTATAGGTAGATAACTGTTAGTGGAGTTTTGACTGTACCTTCTGTCGTCTGTAGTTTCTAGCAAGAGAGGATCTTGCCGGTTTATAACTAGCTCAGACGCTTATGGGCAGTTTCGTCGCGGCTGAACCGACTGAAAAATATAAAAGATATTCAAAGGGTATCTAAACTTGTCTAGAATGAGAAAAGGTTTTGGACCTAGGACGAAAGACAACGACCATTCGTGTTTGGTATCGAGAACTTTGTGTATTCTAAAGATTGTTATTTGTTGTTCTATTACTTGGTATAATATAACAGCACATGGCAGTCTTTTAATGCTCAAAAATTCATGGAGTGGACTAACGACTAACTTATATGGTGGAGCGGTTTTCAATTGAGTGTCGTAAAACCAAAACCAAAGCAATTACCATGGCTAAGCACAACAAGCGAAAACAACACAATGAACCAATGAGAGCTCGGAGCAAATATATACAGCTGTTTCGAGAAAGGTTGTCGGAAAAAAGCGCACGCGACAATCCCGAAAGGTATTGTGGGTAGTTTTAAGTTCACGGTTCTTTGACTTCAGCATTTCAGGGAAATCTGAGAAAATGGCATGAGACTGCCATGGACGTATGTTTGCGAGTGCTAAAAGAAAGCAACAAAAGCAGGCATCGCGGGTTTGATGTATTTATTTGACTTATTAAAATTCATTGATCGTATCCCATATTACCTTTCGGGATTGTCGCGTGCGCTTTTTTCCGACAACCTTTCTCGAAACAGCTGTATACACGTAACCGACGCCAAGCGCGGGAAACTGACGCACGTAACCAAGTCGCGATTGGTTTTGGTTTTGCATCTGATTGGTTGAGAAGGTGGTGCGAGTTTTTTAAACCAATCACAGAGTGTAGTGAAGCAAAACCAAAGCAATCCGGCGATTACTTTCTACAGTCAAATGAAAATATTCCTCCTTGCACGCCGAGAGCCGTAGTTTGATTGGATAATAGAATCGAAAACTCTTCAAGTGCTTCAACGAATATTTGCCAAGAAACGTCGCTTGTTCCCTGAGTCACACAGGGCACAGGGATCCCAGCTAGAACCACTCTTTGCTGCAGTGCACATAAAGCAAAAAGTCGCCTTTTCTTGGCTTAGTATTACAAAATATACACACATGACGTCACAACCTTGGACGCCCTGTGAGGTTTCGTTGTAGTTAGAAAAAAATCGCTATTAGTTTATTAATGTCATAAAGATGCAGAGATAGATAGAGTGATACTGAATAGAGGTTATTCAGCGGAAAGTTGTGTAATACGGCTGGATATTTTTACACTGACGAGTAAAAATGCCCAGCCGTATTACACAACTTTCCGCTGAATAAATTGTTTATTATACGACATAATATCTTTCCTAAAATATAGGCTTTCAACAGTGTTTTCCGTAGCGCGCGGTCAGGGGGACTGAGACCCGTGTAATACGGTCTCATATCTGCTCTCCTCTTTGTGCGTATTCGCACTCTAAAACGTCACGTCATATAATAAAGTCATTTATCGATCAAGGCTTCGCGATTTATGTCATATAAGCTAATTTGAGCTGACTCATCCAGGCCCAATTTTTCCTTTAGAAAGAAAATTGCACGGTGAAGAGTGGGGATGAGTCAGACGTCTACTATTCTTCCCTACCCTAGACAGGCGCTACCGTCTGTCTAAGGTAGGGGTTGGGTACGGAGCATTCCAGAGCTTCGTAAAGAAGTACATTTCGCTATAAATTAAAGCGATCATTGCCGAAAGGAAGCCCAATAATTATGGTTTGATTTTGTAGTTGAACACTGTCAGGATAGTCACCAGGAATTGGAGAAGGCTATCAAACGGTGGCAGATGGCGGGGATACACATGAATGCCATTTTTCCGTCACTTAACATGGGTTTGATGGAAATATCTCGTTCACGTTAATTTCAAGCAATCCAAACACTCTTCCAGCTCAGTACACGGATCTATGTTTTGGGGTGTTTTGAAAATTTTTGTGTGAGTTTTGGGAATGTTTGGGAGGAAATATATAGTTTTTTCTCAAAGGAGCCGTAAAATTTAGGGAAATAACATCTTGGAAATAAGAAATATTGAAGATTTAATGTAGTTTTAAAATTAGAATTAGAATTTAAAAATTAGTAGATGGACACCAACAGACAGTTGATAACCACACAAGAGCACCCGCGTGGGTGTCAACTGTCAAAAAATCATTTTCTTTATTCTATCCCTTCTTTAAACCTCTTAAAATTTCATTGAAATTCAGGTATACCCCCGCCTTAAACGATGGCAGATGGAAATGGATTACAATGTAGACCAACTCCTCGCGGAAATGAATCAGCCAGGATTACATTGAAACAAAGACAAACAGTTTGTTTTGTCCACATTTCAACAGACGTCGCAGTATTGTCGCTTTCCCCCTTAAAATGGCCAATTTTACAGCGTTCTATTTTTCTCGTCTTTTAAAAGGGAAGTATCACGGGGATTTAGTGTCATTCGGCAAAAACTAAAAACGTTTTTGTATTAACAGCAACCTAAAAATAATGGTCAGTTTTTGTTATAAATTATCACCCTAATGAACTAAAACTGTGGATGATTTTCTCTGGCCGTAGATGGACTGGTCAAAATGGGTTTCAACTTGAAAAAATTGGGCTAATTTTTTTCAAGTTCTCGCATTTTCGTTTCCAAAATGCGCCAGAATAGAACATGATTTGTTCCTCTGTCACGAATTCGGTTGATTCCTTTCTCTTGGTGTTCTAAAAGGCAATTGTTCAAAAATCTTACATGTAAACGGAGTACAATTTTTCTAGAAATACATACACCCTTCGCACAACCTCGCGAATGTAAGGGATGGGGTGCATTTTTGGTAAACGAGTAGAGCTTTTCAATTTTGCTGACAGTCTTCGTGTATATTAATTTTCGCTGTCCGGTGAAGTACAATTTTATAATTCCAAAGTGTCATCATTTTAATAGTCTAGTTGACACGATTTTATAGCGAAGCACAACTTGAGCAAACCCAACAAAAGTGTCCTGAACCCATTAAAAAGC